TTAATTAATTGTGTTTAAAGCATTTTAATGAACGTCAAGGTTAAGCTCACACCTCAGTGCTCTCATTCAGCGACGGCCGTGTCTCGGGCTTTAAAGCCTGCTGTTTTAAAACTAACCCACTAATGCCTTCAGACTGGAGGCTTTGCTGAGTAGATTTTATTTGTCAGAGAAATACTGGGATTATAAACGTGCACTCAGGTCGTGATTACTACACGCCACTCTGAAGCAGTTCGGTCCTAAAACAGATGAATCACAGTGAAAGGGGAGGAGGACGTCGATACATTAACAAAGATTTGTCCACGCGCTGAATTAAATTTGCTCCAACAAGATTTTAAGCACTTGTCTCCATGATAATGACGGCTGGTGTTTGTTTTGGTGTTGATTTAMACTCTTGTTTAAATCGAGCCCCAGTCTGCAGGAGGTAAACGCCTTGCTCAGCGGCTCCTCTCATATGCAGTTTATCCAGCCGGTGTTCCCTGCAGAAATCAGCCAATCTGTGTGTGCTGAAAGGCGTGATGGAGTTATGAGCCGGGCAGAGGCGAGCATGTGATGATGGATGAACCACTGACAGCTCAAGGCGGCCGAGTTGTGTGTCTCAGCCTCTCAATGACTGGAGAACGACCAGCCCAGGTGTTGGGATCATTTCATAACCCCTGATTGCTTCCATGTACGCGAGGAAAAAGCCACAGCAGGAGAAACACTCAGCCGAAGTCATTTTACAGCAGAAATAAGCCCCACGAGAGAGAAAATCTGCCCTTTTTCTTTGCTTTTTCTTTCATCCTAAGGAGCGAATCTTGTATAAGCATACCAATGAGTGCAGATAAGCCAAACATTGGMAATTCTGTGGGATTTCTTGACATAATAAAACTTTTTAACTGTTACTTTATAAATTGAGTCTCACATTTCCTGCTGGAATGCAATAAAAGTGCCACATCGCATTAATTCTTCATTAAACAAATACTGTATTAATCAAAGCTTAGTCACGACCCAACAAAATATTTTGTATTTGCAGGTTTATCATGGATTATTTAATTTATGTTCATTTAATTTGACCAAAACAAAACATTTTAGCTTCGATTGGGAAATGTTTTGATTTATGTTTGACTTCCTCACTTTGATAGAAGCTGAGAGCTTAAGATTTATTAGAAATCCATTTCCTTCCTAAGGAAAAAAAATTAAAAAATACAAACTATGATTAATGACAGCAATTCTTTGCTTCTCTTCTCCGAATGGCTGCAGACGAAACCTCAAATTCAGGCTTCATATTTTAATAAAAGTGTTTTAATCTGAGTTAGCTCTGGGCAACAGGACATCAATCTTATAAAATGAAAAATTATAGCCCTGTAAATCCCCCAAGTCAACACTTTGATAAAAAATAATTACCAAAAGTTTTTTCTAAAATATTCTTTTAATAAAAGTAACTTCCGAAATCATCCATCCATTTTCTCTACCAGTGTTTGGTTAATGGAGAGCTCAATAAAGCTGCTATAACTAATCAACATTATCCAACAAACATCAATAACAAGGATTGACCAGAAGGGGTTTAACTCTCAATTCTTATAAAATAATCTTAGTTTAAAACTCTGGTTGAAAAGGTTTGTTAGGCCTTTAAAGGGTTAATGGGCCTCATGCAAGAACATGTTCGTATTCTTATCCTAAATTTCTCTTACTTTTGTTCGTACAAAGGGTTCGTACGAACATGTCACGTC